ACTAAGAATTACTGGTATGTAAAAGTATGGGTCTTGTATATCTATGGATAGTAGCCAGCCTCCAGATTATATAGCTTGTATAACCACTGAAAGAGGGAATGGCTGACACACACATTGTTTAGCCTAGAATCAGGAGATAGCCTGTTGGTTTCTTTGCATTATAAATGAGATGGAAGAAAAAATGTCATTTATCCTGTGTGTAGCTTTTTTTCCTGTGGCTTCCTTTGTAAAGTGATCTATGAGTTCTTGTTATAATATTTGGTTTAGTCTTGTGTGTCAGCAGTCTGGTGAACCCTTAAACCCTTGGAGGGCAGTAGAGAAATAAATAGGATTGGGAACTCTTTTGAAGTAATTTCCAGAACTCAGTGATTATGAACAATATTTTTCAAGACAAAAAATACTCTAGATTCCCCAATGGAGCCTAGAGCCTAAATTCTGTACATTGGTTGTGTGATGAGACAAGTTGTCATTACAGAGGTTTTGGGCAGATACATATTTTGTTCTTAGTCTTTAGCCTTTCCCTTGTTATGGAATTAGGGATTAAAAGAGTAGTTTATTCTGATCTATGGTTTAAGCAACCATGGCCTTCCTTGGAGGATTATGGGTTGCTGGAGGGAGGATCTGTTCCCCTACTGGAGAATGTAATTCTTTTTTTAAGTGCACCATTATCATAGTAGATCTTATATACAGTCTTGCCATCTACCAGGGGGAATCTAAGACCTTTTCTAAGTCACTGATTTAAATGTCAGCCAATAAATTCTTTGGATGGTGGCGGTTTGCAATTATTATTTTAGTTGTATAACAATATTAAGTGTCAAGTTTAAATGTAGACAAAAGAGGAAATGGTAAATCAAGACAGGTGTAACGTACATGTTAGCATATCAAGCAAAGTCAATTTTGCACCTACCATCTCCTTTTATCACTTTCTATCAGGTCTTCTTTTAATATATTTTGGTCAAAACCTGAATTATTTTCTTCACATTCATTAGATGCTGCCCTCACATTTAGCTTTTCAGGTACTATCAGTGAAACAATTGTGCACTTTCCATGGTTTGTGTTTATTATGTTAAACTGAATGATCTTGCATGTCATCATTCTGTGGTTATTCCTTGTGTTGAACTGGAAAGTGGCGTAAAATGTCATGAATAATACATGACTTGTTAGAATAAAGTCAGTCTCTTTCTTTGTTTCACAATGGTTCACTTCCTTCTTTAAGAATCTTTTTGTTGATACTACTTTAAAAACAAATGGCATATTTACCAGCTTATTTGATCCTTTGCTTCCTGTTCCAAAGTGACATTTTTCTTCACCTCTTTTATTCTTGCTCACATGGGTGAATTTCATCCGAGAGCAGAGAGCCTACACAAGGCTCTATATGACACCTCAACTCCACATCAAAGGCTTACATAGGGTTTAACTGATGTGTTAGGCTCTGTGTGATCCTTCTGAAATGGGATGAACATCACCTTTCAGTTCTGAAGTACCTCATTGGATACATTTTTTCTATCACACTTGAATAGGTTTGTCTAGGATTTTTCCCTTCCCTAAATATTTGCTTATTATTGATTGGCTCCAAAAATGTGCGGAGCAACTATAATTCCAAGAAAGTGAGAGAAGTCACAAATGCTGAACACATCACAGGTTTTACAAAAATTGCATCTAAGTTGTACACATATAAGGGGTAATTACTTGTGCAATGGCAAACTATATAGAATAGTCATTTCCATGTGCAATAAATCATTTATGCACAATTTATACTCCTTTTTAGCCCTTAAAATGTAAGCATTGTGACAGGGTCGGACCGGATGGCTACAGGAGAGTAATAGAAGACAGATCTATTAGCCCCAGGTTAAGTAGGTCCCTTTTCCCTGGGTAAGGTAACAGGGAAGGTTCCAGAACAATCAGGAACCTTTTGGAGACAATTAAGACAGACAGGCTGATTAGAACACCTGCAGCCAATCAAGAAGCTGCTAGAATCAATTAAGGCAGGATAATCAGGGCACCTGGGTTTAAAAAGCAGCTCACTTCACTTTGTGGTGCACGTGTAAGGAGCTGAGAGCAAGAGGCACCCGGAGCTGAGAGTGAGATTGCATACTGTTGGAGGACTGAGGAGTACAAGCATTATCAGACACCAGAAGGAAGGTCCTATGGTGAGGATAAAGAAGGTGTTGGGAGGAGGCCATGGGGAAGTAGCCCAGGGAATTGTAGCTGTTGCACGGCTGTTCCGGGAGGCACTCTAGGAGGCTTTCCACAGGGCCCTGGGCTGGAACCCAGAGTAGAGGGCAAGCCCAGGTTCCCCGAAACCTCCCAACTCCTGGTCAGACACAGGAGGAGTTGACCTGGACTGTGGGTTCACGAAAACGGCCAAACTGAGGGCTGCCGTGAAGCTCCAAGGTGAGCAAATCTGCCAATAAGCACAAGACCCACCAAGGTAGAGGAGGAACTTTGTCACAGTTTTTATATATTTAAAAATTATGAAAGCCTGAATAACTTTCTTGATAAGTTTGAAATAGCTCCTTCCATGTTGATGTGATCATTAGGTGAGTCTACAGTTAGGATTTTTTTTTAATAAAAGATTCTTGATACAAAATAACCAATGAAGGGCTTTAAAAGTGTTGTCAAGTCTATTGCATAAATACTACTTTTTGGCCAATGTAACACACAAAACATGTTTAATAAATATATATATAGTAAAATAGTTACTAATCTATCTTTGAAAACTAGTTACTGTACAGCAAATAATTTGATTCTCTCTATATTACTCATACTGACACAAACTACTGTATATGGCTTACTAGGCAACTCCATTATCAATCCCAGTGCATTTCAGCCTTAATTCCACAATCAAATCTCCTTGTAATTTTTTCTTACAATACCCTAATACCAACCACAAGAGATTTTCTACTCTATCTTAATCTAGATGCAAAATAGAAACCAGTTTTGATATTGTACAATTCATTATATTAATAAACACTGAGAACTCAATTTTTAATAGTGACCTCTCTTTTTCCAGGCACACCCTAGGCTACAAATAACTGTGTCCACAATTCAAGGAATTGGATAGCTATGTGATAGCATTTGCACCCCCCAACCAATTGCAGGCACAGATATTTACACCTGCAAGAATGGACATCAGAATGAGGTTCTTTTCAAAATTAGACTCTGATTTTTCTGCAGAGTTTAAGAAACTGATGTCTAAATAAATAAATAATATGCAGTAGTACTTTTGGCCATAGAACTCAAAGAACTGTACAATGAGAGGTTTCAGAGTGGTAGCCGTGTTAGTTTGTATCAGCAAAAAGAACGAGGAGTACTAGTGGCACCTTATTTTTGGACTAAATTTGTTAGTCTCTAAGGTGCCACTAGTACTGCTCGTTCTTTTTGAACAATGAGAGGTAAGTATAATTGTCCCCATTTTCCAAAGGAGGAAAGTGAGGCACTGAGAGGTTAAGAGACTTGACTACCTACACATCGAATCAGTCACCTGACTCCATTATCTTCTGGACTACGCTACCTCATAATGGAGGCAATCCAGTCATAGCATTGGATTTTTAAAAGGTCCATATTTTATATGACTGATGAGGAACAACTCTAGTCTTTGCAGGGTGCACTTTGTCCAAAGACCTATGCAGGGTGTGACAAGCTGAATCTAAATTCTGCAGCAAAATCTCTAGACTCTGTGGTACACTATTGGAAATTTTATAGCAGTTTTGCATACATTTAAAAATGATTTATTTGTGTGTTAATATGAAAACAAGTAATTTATTTTTATATTGAATTTATGATGTTGCCACATCTTCACGTTTCAATATGCCACACATTTTTACTGACAGCACCTAAGTTGTCCTATGTCAGAGCTAACATTTCACTGAGATGTATGGAGCAGTTCACACTTCTCAGAGCTATTATTTCAGGCTAGCAGGAACAAATTCAGGAACTCAATAGTGCATTAGTTTACACTTGACTCCCATATTCAAGGTTACCTTCACAACCACTATACATTCCACAACCACATAACTGAAGAATATATGAGAGCTGTGACAATGTTACACACACACACACACACAAATCAGTGTTTCATATAGCCTCCATATGCTCTTCAATACTGGGATAAACCGATTATCAAAATTGCTTACTCTTCAAATGTTTCAGAATGGGGTCTGAATGGGTTTTGCTAGACTGAGTTTAGGGTCTGTACATACCATGATTTACTCAGCTCAGGCAAATTTTAATAGTGCACTAAATATTTCATCAGCAGAAACTGTACTTTGATGATCATCTGTTCTGAAAAACTGTACTGCGTTTTGGAATCCCTCTTGGCCTTTATCTCCTTTACTATCACATTACATTCCACAAGGTCCTGCATTTAAAAAATAATTACTTCTGAAGGAAAAGGCGCATAACTGAAATAGGTTTCTGTGTACTAGTTTCAAGGCAATGCTGCCCTATTCTATCTGCCTTGTCACTCCTACAGCATAGGGTGAAGTGCATGAATTGTCAAGAGGAAGAACAATTACTCCTTCTCTTTTCTTGTACTATGACAGGTTTCAGAGTAACAGCCGTGTTAGTCTGTATTCACAAAAAGAAAAGGAGTACTTGTGGCACCTTAGAGACTAACCAATTTATTTGAGCATAAGCTTTCGTGAGCTACAGCTCACTTCATCGAGCTCACGAAAGCTTATGCTCAAATAAATTGGTTAGTCTCTAAGGTGCCACAAGTACTCCTTTTCTTTTTTCTTGTACTGGCTCCTGTGAACCTTTCCCCCCAATAATATCAGTCTTGTACACCTTCACCTTCAATTATTCTTATCCATTTTTCACAATGTCTACACATACAAAATATAATAATGGAAGCTTTTGAAAATGTTGATAAAAATGAACTATTTTGAGTTAATTAAGTCTGAGGTCAGTATCATACAGTTTCAAAGGAAAACAACGAAACAGGGCATCTGAAAGTGATTTTTTTATCCCTGCTGATTCTTTGTAGTTTTGTTACTCACGGCAAATCTTCCAATCTGGAGGCTTCATGTCTTGGGTTCAAAAGATCATAACCACATTCATTGTAGATTTCCAAGTAGGAAACATGGGTTGTGTACACTTTGCTGCTGTCCTGAATAGGAAAGAAAATTAAAAGGGCTATAAATAGCAGCCAGAGCCCTAGGGAAAATGGACAAATTTATCACTATAGCTTCCACGCTGCCTCCTCACCCTCTCTCTCATTCTTTTGCTGGATATGTTTTACATTTTCAATTCGTGACACTTTCAAGTCTGTCCATTGCCATATGCATGAAGACCAAAAAAAAAAAAAAAAAAAGACCTATGCCCATGATTAGAAGCAAGTTCAGTCTGTCTTTTTTTTATTGGTTCCATATATCTAAAAAAGTCTGCATACACTTAGAATGTGGCAGAACTGTATAACATACCATTTTTCACTTCTCTGACAAAAAAACATGTTACTATAAAGAGGTATACCCTCATGTTTTGGATAAAGAGATGATCCCTAAAAAAAAACAACCAAAAACCGAAGATTTACTTCATTTTAGAAACTCCAGTGGCACATTGCTTTCCATGTTCTTTACCAAATACCTAAACACTGCGTATGCTGTCAGCTATCCTTTGTAGCCCTACTTTCTTTCTGTATTCTGTATTGCCAGAATGTAAAATAATCCAACTGGTCTCTGCAGACAGAATTCTCTCCTCCCACAAAGCCAAAGCCAAACAATGTAAACCTCAAAATAATGAACTGCGATTTCCAAAGTAAAAGTGAATTAATTTATTTAATTGGATGAAATCACTGGGAAAGCACTCATTATCACCCTAACAGAGGCAGTTTTCTAATCCAATTTGCTAATTTTATTTAAAAAGCTATCTTGAGACATGAACCTTTCATTGTCACGGCATAAAATATTTCTAGGATGAGATTTTTATTGATTGTGGCAGAAGAGTGTTTCAGGGAAAACTGTTTTAAAAGGCACATTATGGGTAGATGAAAAAAATAAAAAATGAGACAGAGTTCATTGGGATTGCAATTTACACAGGTAATAAATCTCCCCCAACAGAGGTAATTTACATCATGGAAAGAAGGGACAGTAAAGCAGATGTCACTTTCTATGGGTGTAATTCATCTTCACCCAGGGGCATGTGAAAAAACCCTTTATGTCAGTTGAGCTCCCACCATTGGAGCTTAGGTGTGTGTGGGTGGAACACCTGCCATCATGAAAGGGGCACCTGTGCCTCTGGTGCACCATAGATGGTTTTGGGGGGCATGCTGGGAAGAGACCATTAGACCGGCACTTATGTGAATTTAATGGAAGAACCAACACATAGCTACAGGCACAGCGGCAACTCTTTCAACCCACGGAGCTGCAGGCCTTCGCTGCATAGTACTGTAGCCACATGCCTTATCACTTGGTTCAGTGGATTAACATTATCCTCCCTATTCCTCCTGAACCACTACCTAGATCCACACAAGCCCATTTACTCAAGCTTTGAATGGGGAGAAGTGAATTTCACCCTGTATTAGTGAGATCCTTCACTAAAGAGTCTACTGTATCCCTATTTGAAAAGCTAATTGCTCTTGCAGATGTCTGCATACCAATACCTGTTTTACAATGAAACCACCTTAACAGAAACATGCCATGTACTGCTAAACACTTATAATGCCTCTGGGCCTCAACAGGAACCCTGGAGGTTTTAAAGAACAGGTTGGACAAACACCTGTCAGGGATGGTCCAGGTTTACATGGTCCTGCCTCAGCGCAGGTGCTGAACTTGATGGTTTCTCAACGTCACTTCCAGACCTACACTTCTATGATTCTGTCTCCACCATCTCCAATCCTGCTAAACTACATTTCCTCTAATGATACTTCACCCCACTTCTGAGTCTACTTCATGAACCAAGAGGGAAGTTGACATTTCACCACAAACATAGTAAAGAAACAATAACAAAGATATTTGTATAACATATTTTAAATATATTTAAATGTAATTTTGACTAGTGCACGAATATATGGAAATTTTCCCCTGTCAGCTTTTTAAAAAGGGCCCACTATAAAAGACAAGAGGAAATGAGAGAAGAGGAAGGTATGGAAAGAGACAAAGATGAAAGGAGGAAGAAACAAGAAGAGATAAGGGAGGAAAATAAAAGTGGCCAATCTGAGAGCAGAGAGGAAGCAGTGTCCGTAAATGTGTGGCTAGCTAATACTACAAAGCGCCAGTTACTTTAAGTGCCAGAAACAAGTCTGAAAAATCAAATGTTCCTGCATGCACTCTTGATAGAAATAAATATGCAAATACAACAAATCAGATGGTTATTTCTTCATCCTACATTATTATTTAATCAGCACAGTACCAGACAGAGGAAGACAAAGTCCTAGTCCCCAGGAGTTATTCTAGGGGCTCCATCTTATACACTCTTACTCATGTAGGTGTTCATGTGACTAAAATCTAGTCTTATGAATAAGGATTGGTAGGATACAGCTCTAAATACAGTACAAACATAACATGGAATGGCTGACCAGACGATAACCAGGACATAACAGTAAGCTATTTGATCAACTTACCTATTTTCACATATATTTCATTTTCACATTTGCATAAAGTTGCTAAATTAAAGAAATAAAGTTTAATTCACTCATGGACCTTATGGAGTAAAGAGGGACAAAGAACACATGAAGTCAGACAGACAATATTCAACTTTTACTTTTATTTTCTTGGCTTTGCTTCACATGATTGATGGAATGGTAGAATGAATGACTTATATTGGTTCAGAATTATTACAGTATGTAAACAAAATTTCATTTCTATTTTGAGGAACACTGATATAAAATTGCCAAGAATATTTAATTTATTTTTCTCTTTTTCAGATGTAATGAATGACTATCAACGTCACTCTCTCTCACAACGTCTTAGAAACCTGACAATAATATTTATCTCCTGACTGATTTTGTTTCTGCCCAATGGGAAAGTAGATCATTTTGCTGTGTTTTGGTTGAAGTGAAAACTAACTTTTAGCGGAAGTTTTTACACTTTTGATGTCAAGGACCACTTCATAAGATCCTTCGATGGCCTCCCCGCAATCCCATACCTTATCCATGGCAACAGTGCTTGGTTCTCAAACTTTTTTCCCTTCTGTGGGTCACCAAAAACAATTCCTATTTAAGAGTCACTGATTTAAAAATAACTTTAGTACAGAATGAAAAGAAACCTGTTGCTTGCTGGTTGAACACAATTTTAATTTCTTATCTAAACCATATAATAACTTTTCCAGCTAAGAAAAGGAGTACTTGTGGCACCTTAGAGACTAGCCAATTTATTTGAGCATGAGCTTTTGTGAGCTACAGCATAATTTTAATTAAGATGTGAGAATGAAAAAGCAAGTTTTAAGCCACTCAAGATTTTTCTAGACTGTTTTCGCATCTCTAATGAAGTGCACAGGTGTTGGGATGCTAATCTCCTTTTTTAAGGAGAAAAAATTCACCAGATGAATAGGGTCCATACAATGCCCACTGCAACACTCAAATCCCACAATGGCCCTCCTCTGTGAGAGGGGGGGGAACAGGCTGAGCAGCCATGCAGGCTTGGAGGGGTACTGTACTCTTTGCTTGTTACAGAGTGGGACTTTATGCCAGGCCCAAGTGCGCTAGCACAGCTGGGGGAGGAGCTACTGAATCAACATCTATGGGGTTACATGGGTCCTATGACAGGGTGCTGACCAGGAACTGCTGAGCAAGCCCTCTGTCACTCCAGCTCCAAGTAAGGGAGGTGAATTGGACTGACTAGAGGAACCTGAGTCTGATTGGCAGAGCCGCAACAGCTGCCAGCCTGAATAGCCTGAGGTTATACACAGGCATAGAGGAAGGAAGGAAGCAAGGGTGGTGGGGAGAAGCCAAGAGAGTGTAAAGAGAGGGGTAGCTCTCCCCTCCTGGCTGCAGAAAGAGAAGCCCCTAAGGCTGGGACCCCCAGCAATATGTGATGAGAGTTGGTGGGTTTGCACTGTGTAAATAAACTGCACCGGTGACTGCTGAGCCAAAAGGTCTCTGAGTGATTTTTGGAACAGAGCAGAGACAGGACCAAGAGAGGCCCTGCTACGCCCTGTTACATGTGGGGGCTTGTCCAGGACCTGAGCCAGTGCAAGAGTTTGGTGGCCCAGAGATAGAGGAGACCCAGCAGTGGCTGGTAAAGCAGCAGGAAGAAATGCAGAAGGCTATGCAAGATTTTCAGCATGCCCACCATGTAGAGAGGCAGGTCTTGCTTACTTGGCAGGCTGAGCAGCAAAGGAACCTGCAGGACTTTATACAGGAGCAGACCAGCATCCAACAGCAGCTCCTGCAGAGGATGGTGAGTCCTATGGGGGGGATGGCTCGTGGGCACCCGGCCTAGGACTATGTAAAATGGGCCCTGCGGATGACCCACACGTGTTCCTCTGCATGTTTGAGTAGATAGCCACGGGGACTGGATGAGATAGGGCAACCTGGGCCCTGAGGCTGGCTCCCTACCACACCGAAGAAGCTCAAGCAGCCTACATGGCCCTGAGCGAAGAACAGGCCAGTAACTATGATGCAGTTCAGGAGGCCATCCTAGATTGGGTGGGGCTGTCTTCAGAGAAATACCAGCAGAAGGTCCGTTTGGCAAGGTGGACATGGGATTTGCGGCTCCAGAAGTTTGCCCAGAGGTTGATGGCCTGAGCCACCCGCTGGCTGAGACCCAGCATCCAGACATTGGGGGAGATAATGGACGTGTTGGTCCTAGAAAAGTTTTTACAGAGCATCCCTGAGAACATACAGGTATGGGTTAGGCATCAACCAAGTACGGTAGAGGGGGGCTGTGAAACTGACTGAGGAATACGCAGAGGCCGACTTCCCCAGGAAAGAGGGGCGGCCCTATGAGGACATAGAGTCTGGGAGAAAGGGCCTGGAGCAGAAGAGGCCTGAGCGGCTCCTCCGGGGGCCTGACCGATGACTTGTTGGCAGTGTGGGCAACCAGGACATAACAAGGGGAACTGCCCATACATGGAGTGTGAGTTCTGCAGCTGGACTAACGCTGGAGGGCAGGGGTAGGGGCAGAAACTGTCCACCATACCTGTGATGGTGGGGAGGGAACCCTGGCGGGGGGAATTAGTAGATACGGCCTCAGCCTGCTTGCTTATCCAGCGGTAGCTAGTAAAGCCACGATGGCTGATTCCCGGAGCCAGGATGGACCTTGAGTGTGTCCACGGGGATAAAAGACAGTGCCCTATGGCCCAGGTGCCCCTCAAGGTCCAGGGCAAGTTTCAGTGGAAACAAGTCGGGGTAGTCGAAGGGCTGCCTTACCCGGTGGTGGTGGGCACAGACTGGGAGCCCTTCCCATGAGGGACAGGAGGCAGTGGAAAGAAGCCCAACGTGGGGAAAAGGGGAGGTCCCCTGAAGAAGTGGGTGGAACCATCCAAGGCACAGATCCTTGGTAAGGAGTGAGACCAATCTCCTCTGGAGAATGAGGTACAAACCCTTAAACAACAGAGCCCGAGGGGGGAAGGAAACAGGGAAGGGGAGGCCTCCGGCCCAGGACCCTTATCAAAGGAGACAGGCCCAACGGAGCCCCCTTCAAGGCAACCCCCAGGAGAACGGACATAGGCCCTGTGTGCCAGGCTGGTGGAACCGGAGGCCCTGCATGTCTAGGGGGAGATAAAGATCAATCCCAAAACCCTGCAAGAAGGGAAAGAGGAAAAAGAGGGGGGGCACCCATTGGGGTGTGAATGGTGTGAGGACCTGTGGGTAGTGATAGACCTATAGGGGCATCCACCCCTTACACAATGTAAATTCTGTGGGTGGGGGATACAGGAACCCCACAAGGAAGACCCCAAGGCTCACTAGAAGGAGAACTCCCCCGCACTGCCCCATCTGGTAGAGAGAAGAGGGGAGAGGCAAGGACAAACCTGGAGGTTCAGTAAGGGGGGGAGGTGTGTTACAGGGTGCTGACCAGGAACTGCTGAGCCAGCCTTCTGTCACTCCAGCTCCAAGTAAGGGAGAATAGGAGCTGACTAGAGGAACCTGAGCCTGACTGGCAGAGCTGCAACAGCTGCCAGTCTGACTAGCCTGGGGCTATATACAGGCACAGAGGAAGGAAGCAAAGGTGGAGGGGAGAAGCCAGAGAGTGGAAGAAGAGGGGTAGCTCTCCCCTCCTGGCTACTAGAAAGAGAAGTCCCTAAGGTGGGACCTCCAGCAATATGTGGTGAGAGTTGGTGGGTTTGCACTGTGTAAATAAACTGCACCGGGGACTGCTGAGCCAGAAGGTCTCTTTGTGATTGTTGGAGCAGAGAAGAGGCAGGACCAAGGGGGGCTGTGCTACGCCCTGTTACCAGTCCAAAACTCATCCTAGGCTGGAATAGTAGCTTTGGAGAGGTAGCACACTACAACTCCACAGCAAGCCTGCAAATTGGAGGAATTGGCCCACTAGCAGGGTCTTGGAATCTATTTCCACCCACACATGCTTAGTTCCCTGCAAAAAGACTGAATATTCATGCTTTGTGAAGAGAGGTATGAATTCCATACTCAAAAAATTAGGAAGCCCCCTTCAGAACTGCCATAGGGAGACTCAAGAGCTTCAGGCATTATTAACATCATTCATGTTCCTCCGTTAATCAGTCAGCATTTCCATTTTACTCTATATATAAGCATTTCAAGTTTTAACTCCTCTGTAAAAATTTATGCAAGGCTGATTATGGCATAAAAGGTCAGGCAAGATTAAAAAAAAAGTACCAAAATTAACAAGAATTAAATTTGGCAATTTTTCTCTTACTAAAATACAAACAGCTGGCATAATGCCTTTGGCTACGGAGGCAAGCTTCCAACTTTCTTTGGTCACAAGTGAAATATATTGCAAGGTTTCCAACCTAGTGATTTCCCACAAACCCACCATTAACCAGAAAAGTATCTTGCATAATTCATAAGTGCCCGTGTTTCCTCATCTTTAACATGCAAATAATGGTACTTAAACTCCTTCGTAAAGCAGTTTAAGATCTATGGATGAAAAGTAGTATAAAAGAACTAAATACTGGGAAGAATTATTAGAGATACCAGTTGTACTCCATAATTAAGACTGAGTAGTGTTTTTGCACTTAAAAGCAAGGACTCAACCTCTATGTCTGAAAAATACAGCATTTAGTCCCCCCAAAATTACAGCATTTACTTTTTAAACATAGAATGGTATTTCTAGGAATTTACAAGTAAATCACTTAAATAATTTAGGAGTTAAAATTAATCTTAAAATGGCTTCTTTAAAAAATGTAGACATTACTGTCAGGTTGTTGTTGTTGTTATTGTCCTGAATGAACTTAACAGAACAATGCAGATGCGTCAAACCTCCCATGTTGTTTAAACTCACTAAAATCTTGTGTATAAACTACAATGGAAGATTTTTAATTATAGGCAGATGAATGAGCCTGTTATTCTTCATAAATGAATGTTTCTTCTTCATCAGAGGATGAAGAATAATACTCTTTTACAGAGAAGCCCACAAGAACTGTCCACATGCATGTGCACGGGAAAGCTGGGAATGAAGGAGGCAGGGGAAAACTAGGGTATACACTCCAGCTTCTTTGTGATACACTAGCAAAAACAAAGCAGCTGTAAACCCAGCTGGATTGGCAAGTATGCTGTCGCTGCCATGCACTGCTCTCTTGTACATAAGTAGCCAAGCGTACTGGTGAAACTGGCCATAAAAATAAAATTTTAAAAAATTATTTAAGGTTAAGATCTTAAAATCATTGAAAATATCATTTGGTAACATTCTTTGAATTTCTTGTTTAGTGATCCTATATGAAATTTTAAATTTAGAAACCCACGTATATTTCCAGAAAATGCTACTTTAAGATTAAATTACAGCTGAAAGTATATATCATTTACAGAGTACATTGACTGTGATTGTAAACTCTTCAGGGTTTGGGCTGCCCTTGTGTTACGGCTGTACAGAGCCTAGTAGAGTGGGAGTCTGCTACCTGATTGAGGATTCTAGTTGCTACCACAATACAAATAATAAATAACAATATAAATAGTTTACATTCCCACATTATATGGATGTTGTATTTAATCCTTAAACAACACATTATAAACCCAGGAAATTCAGTTAAGGTTAAACTCAAAAGAAATCCAAACAGAAATGCACAGTTAGGGCACCAAAACAACCTTAACTTCACTCTGCAGTGACACCATGCAAAACCATATGATTAAGTTTTTGTGACTGCAGATTATATTATGCTGAATTTTAAAGAAATATTAGATTGCTTCTTTTCATCCCTTCATGTTGTCACTGCAGGGCCAAGGTAATGTTACTTGGGTGGCCCAATCACATTTCAATATCTTGACATGGCTAGACTTCTTTTAAATTTAACCTTAACTCTGAACTAACTGGATTTATAAACACTAGGCTTCCAAATAACTAACATTTATGTAATGTATTTTACCTTAACTATCTAATATGTGCTCTCAGATGTAACTCCATCTTAATGTAGTTTTTGTCTGAAAATTATTATTAGGGGCAGCCTCTGCTCAGGAAAAAATTAGAAAATGGAATAACAGGTAAGGTTAGAAAAAGAGGTAGAGTAGGAGTGGTGAATTAGAAGGAGACTCCAAATTAAGGGCACAGGGAAGAGATGGAGAAATTGTGGTCAACCTTTCATTATTTAATATTAACCACTTTTTGTCTTACACTGAAATCAAATCCATGATCTCTTCACACACAACTTCCACTAGCTTCAACAGAACTGCTACAAGTGGAACATCTGCAAAACTGGCCCTATGAGTATAATTTACTACCTTTGCAAGTATTCCGTTTACAATTTTTAACTAGTCTTTTAGGTCTAGATACCTTTTTAAAGCAGATCTAAAGACACTATTAAAAAGTTAAATATGTAACAGATGCCATACAAGTGCATCATGAGAAAAACACATTGTGGGCAAAAACTTTCATCACATCTTTTTACTATTTACAGCTTTACTTGTTCATGTGGCATACATGTGTAGCTATGTCGAGAAACTTGCATAATGTCTGCCCACTCTATGCCAGACTTCAGTCACCAAATGAGTCTCTTACTCATATTAGCATGTATAAGTGTATTACATACATATTTAAAGTTAAAGAAGAGACACACATACAAAAAGGATTATTGCGGTTTGGATGTCTTTGCTTTTGAAAAATTAAACTGGCTGAGATATTGAAATTTGAAACTGTTTCCCCACAATATTTTACTAAATAGTTGTGATTATGGACCTGTGATATTTAAGTGGTCATACTATATACTGTGACCATGCAATTAATATGGATTAGTATAATCTAGTAAAATAATCCTGTTAAGTAAGTAACCTAATTTTTTTTAAGACCTTCATTAAAGTTTATCCAAGAAAATCAAGTTGTATTATGAATTTTACAAATACTGCATAAAGTTAATATTATGAGCTTCACTCAAACACACAAAAAGCAAGGTAGTTCAAATGATGGGTTAAAATACTGGTTGATGGTTCATCTTCTATTTGCTCTTCTTGGCCTAAGGTTATATAGGATTACGAATTTTCATACTTCATCTGTGCATTGCAACACTTATCATAGGCATAATAATACAGTGGATGATGACACAGCCAAATATTTGATCAGATACCACTCTGGGCGAGCCTGAAAGCAGTACTCTCAAAAAATAAGACATTGGAATAATTCCAATGGTGTCCACTATTTTTCAGTGTCTGGCAATAACCTGGTCATCCACCACTCATGATGACTTTATGGTAAGGCTACAGTGTCAGGCTAGATTTCACGCTAATATGCATTTCTTTCGTTTGGTGGGTTCAAGTCAGGTCTTATTGTAACATTACCACTAAAATTGTTTCCTGTGATTCAATGCAGTATTAGTAAATCAGATTTTTTTTAAAGAAAATGAAAGGACAAAGATCTGTACCTTCTCCAACTGCTGAAAAATGTAAGACAGAGTCCTGGGAATGATGCCTCGATCACTGTAACGCTCTGCTCCCCCAGTGATGGTAAAAGTCTTTCCACTGCCCGTCTGCCCATATGCAAAGATAGTGCCATTATATCCTGCTAGAGCACTAAAAAATGAAGGAATAGATAACACAAGTTGCATACAGTACCTTTTCCATGGTTATCTCTTATAGCTTCATCAAGAACCTGATCCAATGCCCATTGTAGTCAATGGGAATGTTTCAATTGTCTTCAGTGGGCATTTGGATCAGGCTCAAACAAATTTATTTTAGATCAGATGGAGTTTCAAGATTTTCATGACCTGAATAGAAAGCAATTATGTTCTGACTCATTCCATAATTAAATATCCGAATTACCATTAGATTCTAACAAAGTTTATTATTATGTACATACTTTTAGTGTCCCTATCACCATACTATTTAAGTGAAAATGAAGAGTTGGTAATGGGCTATAGAGAATCTTTAATCTCTTATCCAATCCAGCCTGAATCCAGTCGCTTGGTGGTGACTAAAATAGGCAGCACATGATAGCCATTCAATAGCCTGTGTGAAGTGAGTTTGATAATCCCAGTCCAGTTTCTAGTGGAAAAGTTGTGCAAATCACAAAAAAATCACAATCATCCATTAATCTTGTTGACAGTCTCAGCAGAGAAGCCAAAAAGCCAACTGTCCTCTTATCCTTAGACGTGGGTCCACGAAGTCAGGGCTAAAGCACATTGAGGTGCCAATGTGTTTAAAGCTCCCATTGCTGCTGTCCGTACTGTGCTTTATATGTGCATAAATAAGAAACATAAGCCTCCAGAAATACCAATCTGCACCTTTAATGAGTGCTTACCACAGAGACTGGTCTTTAAAAAAATGTTGGAAGGTTATCAGAAGAATTAAATTCATGATCTGGTAACCCAGTATCACAGCATCAGTTTGGGAGCAAGCTAGATGCCTTGCTGGCTATACTGTGAGGCAACTAAGACAGTTTGTGCTGCCGCGGAAAGGCCGAGAACCCATGAAATAGTGTGGAGGCACTGAAGTGTCCCACCCATCATAACTCAGTCCTCCACAGGTGGCCTGAGATCCTAGAATCACTGAATATTATGGTTGGAAGAGACCTCAGGAGATCATCTAGTCTAATCCCCTGTTAAAAGCAGGACCAACCAAAGCAGGATCCCTGGGTTTTCCTCATGCTTTCCTTACAACATCCACATATTTGGAAGGCTAAGCTTACTGCCCACCCTCTCCGCAACTGAACAATGTGTAGGAAATTCCATAAACAGAAATTCAGTGTCAAATCCATTAATATTTCTAATAATGCTCATCATTATGGTATCTCCCCATATACAGCACAAGATGGTCCTTTGTTTTTATAAGTTTCTCTTGGGCAAACTAATCTAGATGTAAAAGCAGATCCAGTGACACATACGAACACTCTTTTAGGGAAAGTAAGTATGTCCAAAATTTTGGGGAAACAGTAAAGAATCGGAAAACAGTTCATAGATTCTATTCTATTCAGGTTCTTATACTGTGTCACTCACCAAGGTATCCTAGTACCTTCCAGAAGTGCATGGTGACATGATTAGCAGTAGTCATGTGTTGGTCTCTCTTTTTCCCTTCCTTTTCCCAGGAACGAAACTGTGTGTGGATTTTTAAAAAAAATTGCTCATGCTATTTACTTTTAAGAGTGAAGAGTAGGTCAAGTTTGCAATTGGAATGAAAAGTGATGAGTGTTGTGGTGGTTCATGGATCCTAAAGTAGTTCTTTCTACAGTCTTGGACTGGCTACAAAAAAGGCTCTTGTCTCTTGCATAAATGAAAGTTACCATTATGATAGACAGTTTTATTGTGACAGAGGAGCAGAGTTGTTGATTATGGTCCTCATTCTGGAACTTTAGGCAACCTTTAAGGTAAGCCTGGGCCCAGACCCTTAAAAATCTTGAAGATAAGGACTGAGACTTGAATCTGACACAGTATTTTAGCGGGACTCAGTGTAGTGAGATGACAGTGGACCTTGCATACTTCCAGAACCCTGTGCTGCTGTGGAGGTGCACTGCTGAACTCTGTACTAATTATAATTTACCCTGGAATAACTGTTTCATGCTCAGGTAGACTGCACTGCTGTTGTCCCACTAAGAGGTAGTCAAGGCAAATATTAATAAGGCTGGATCACCTTTTGAAAAGTTAGGATGCACTCTCCTAGGTAAATGTAGATGATAGAATGTGGACACTTCTACGTGAGAGTTTAGGTCACTCATGAATCCAAGAGCCCAAATGATGGCACACAGTCTCCTAGTTCGCTGTCAATGGCAGAACACATCACTCATGAATCCAGGAGCATTCCCAAACTGCAAACTGATCTGACCAGGAGACTGCACCGTGGCTGGAAACTCACCTGCCAACCACAATAACCTCTGTCATATTTGAATGTAACTTCAACCAACTGTTCATCCATAAACTGATTTTGACCAAGCATGGACAATCATGAGAACAGTGATATTGCTGTATATTGTGAAGGACAGATTGAGCTGTGTGTCATCCCACTTCCGTGATCAACTGAGACATTTTTTATTAATGAATTTAGATAATTTACAGGATATGAGAGTATGTATTTGAAGGTTTCTGGTCCTGGTTTTGTTTGTAGAGAGAGAGTTTTAATGCAATGAACAAAGAGCATTCTCTTTAACTATGGAGATCTGGATTTCATTACTGCTAAGGTGGTATAGTTTAATGGAACTATTTGTATATAAAAATATGGCTAATGGTTTTTTTATTAATACATGGCAAACGTTCCTTCACTACTTACCAGCAGAGATTCATACTTTTTGTTAAATAAGACCTTGAGGACGGAATGTCTGAGATATGAATGCAAGTTTTGGATATTTGCCCAGACCTCCCTGAGATAATATATATGTAGGTATATGGATATATGAATTATGCTTTTCTTTTCTTAATTTCATGTATACATTGTAAAGTCTATATTGATTTTACTGGGCATATTAGTGTATATGTTTTATTTGTCCAAGTTTACCTTGGGGGGTAAAGACTTAAGACTATTTTTTTTTGCCATTTTTAACTTCATTTCAGATTAATTATGGTAAACTGCCCCAGAATACTCCTGGAAAACAAGTACTTTGCTACCAGCCGTATATCAGCTCCTACATTCTATGGTGATTGACTCAAGGCAGAAATTGTGGTCATTACTTTGTATCTTCACTTTTCTGTAAAACACAGATAATTGGAAACAATCACCCAAAAGTAGTTAAAATTAGAAACTGGATAAGTATTCACCCTACTTTTTACTACAATATTCATATGGCCAATTGAACTAGGACTCGACAGTCTGCATTTGACAGGACAGATTATAAAATCTCTGGATTCAGGAATGCCAAATTCCTCTTTTTTCTTTCAGCAACTGTAGTTTATAAAGACTTCCCCTAAATTTATACATGTCATAAACTGTTTTTCCACATTTCAAACTCCTCTTACAATAAATTCAAAGGGAGCAATAAAAGGGATAAATTAATTAGGGAAGAATTATCCTCCTGATAAGATTTACAGACCCCAAAAGTAGATTTAATATATTTAGTCTAAAGACCCTACCAACTTTGCATAAACGAAAAAGAGCAAAAATATTCTTGTGCATTTTTTGTTTATAGATAAAGTGATAAGCCAAGATAAGAAAAAATGTTTCTTTCTTGTCTAAGAGGAAGGGACCATGTATAGATAGGCTGCTGGTCTGGCACCATGAGAGATGCAAAGGGTCTCCACCTTAATAAAGCTTATTTGAAAACCTGAGAGATTGCCAAATTGCTCAGTTTAATCCACTACACTAGGATATCAAAGAAAAACAAACAGAAGTATACTGACAGCAACTACAGCCAACATCTGCTCCTAATGACCAAAAATACCCCATGAAGTCAGGGAATAGTTGGATTTTAGCTTCCAGATGTTAAAAAGCCAATACAAACAGCATCAAGATTAGGAAACGCCCAATCCATCTACTCAAGGAATTTGTAGAGTACCTATCAACACAGTATCTGAGTGCTCAATACAATAATGGTGAATCACAGAGCTGCCCTTAAGTGAATCTGCTTCTTGCCTCTTCTAGGTTTGGGATCTTACTGATCTTCCTTCCTTTCCTGTTCTTCTTCACAGTTGTCGTAGTTCCACAACTTCAGTTATTGTGCTGAGGTGTCTGCAAAAAGGTGTACTTTGCAGTGTAGTCTGGATATGGTCACACTTAGCCTTACAGTATTATCTTCCCCTGGTGTCTCTTTTACTCCTGGGGGAATTCTGCACCACTGCACATGCACAGAATTTATGTCCCCCACAGATTTCTTTGCTTCCCACGGAAAAATGACTTTCTTATGGTGAAACAAAGGAAAGCCACAAGAGCAGTCATACAACTCTTCCCAACAGTATATTTCGGGTGCCCAGGGCAGCCAGCAGAGAGGTAAATCACTGTAGGGCACGACTGGGGAAGACCCAGCTTGTGGCTCCTACCCTGTGCCGGACTCAGCTGCTAGTCCCAGCTGGGCTGGAGAGGACGGGACTTCCTCTTTCTCTGCCCCTGCATGGCATCTCAGAGCTATCCCCAGATTTCTCCCCCAGCTGTAGAAAGCTTTGCAAATTGCCTCTCCCCCCCACATGTTTTCTGCATCCATCGCTCCTCAGCTGCAGGGGGAGGGATCACTGTACAGGAAGCTGCTCCCCCATCCGCCCAACCCCCGTGCATCCAGACCTCCTCATACCCAGACCCTCCCGCTGAGCCTCACCTTCCCCGCCCCACCCAGAACCCACCTGACGAGCCCCACTCCCTCTGCCCCTGGACCACGCCAACAAGCCACCCACACCCGGATCCCCACCCTACCAAGCCCTGCTGAGCCTCATGCCCCCCACACACACCCAGAACCCCCCACAGCGAGCCCCATTCCCTCTGCACCTGGACCATACTGACAAGCCACCCAGATCCCCACCCTACCAAGCTCCAACCATCTGCACCTGGATCCCCACCCCACTGAGCCCCACTCCCCCAGCATCTGGATCCCTCCCACTGATCTCCCCAGAACCCCCTGCTGAGCTCTATCCCCCACCCCCCACTCAGACCCCTCTGCTGAG